TGTGTGTGTGTGTGTGTGTGTGTGTGGTGAGACTCACCTAATAGCCCAGGCTGGACTAGAACACTTGGTGATCCCTTTTCTTCCTCCCCAGTGCTGGGGAGTTACTACACCACAAATATTTTTTATATAGGCCAGGCTGACTGAATTCTCAGTCCTCCTGCCGTGGCCTACTCAGCGTTAGGCTCACAGGTGTGGACCATCTTGGCTAGTTCCAAACTCAAATTCGAGTCATTGGCACAGTGGCTTAGTCATAACATGAGCTGGGGATGAGCGAAAGGAGATGAGCTGGACCTTGCACAATCTTGCCCCTTTGGACTCAAGGTGTACCCTGCATTACTTACTTTTCTTGTTGTTATTGTTGTAGGGTATCCGCCAGAGAAGACTACTTGGACAAGGGTTGAGGCCAATAGAAAGTCTTTATTAGCTGGCTGGCGACTGGAATACCGATGTAGCCTGAGCCTTTCTCAGGGTGCACTTTTAAGCACAAAAACCATATCTTCTATTGACATGGCAAGAACCATTAGCCAGAAGCAGAATTACAGAAGCCAAAAAGCAAAGTAAGTACATTTAGAGACTTTCCCAGAACTGTGGACTTGGATGAATTAGGTCTTTGTTTTCATTTTGGCCAGTGGTGCTGTCTGTGTGCCAAGTTTTATGGCCTGAATGGTACTTCCACCATGGAAGTACCAAGTTAAGCTGTGCTAAGGTATGGGGGACTACTGAGACGTGGGGGCTGTTATAGATGTGACCAAATGCCTGGCAAGAGGCAACCTAAGGAAAGAACAGCTTACTTTGGGTCACAGTTTGAGGGCACACAGTCCATTGCAGTAAGGAAGGCATGGCAGCAGGTATTCAAGGTAGCTCGCCAAATTCATCCACAGCCAGGAAACAGAAAAAGATAAATGCTGGTGTTCAGCACTTTCTCTTTCTAATTCAGTCTGGACTCAGTGAATGGTGCTGCCTAATTCAGGGTATTTTTCCTCCTCAGTTAACCTCTGTGGAAAAGCCTTGATAGATAGGCCTAGAGCTATATCTCCTAGGTAATTCTAAATCCTGCCAAACTGACAGTAATGATTAATCATCACAGACCCTGGCAATGCAGCTATGACTAAAGCCCTGCCCAAAATGCATCGTGGTGGCCCTGCTTCCTATAGAAAGCCTCAGAGAAATGGGAACTTCATTCAGTGATAGAACATTTAATAGGTATGCCAAGGACCTGGACTCTGACACAATACCACAAAATGCACACTCATACAAGTGAGCGTGCATTTGTGCACACACACAAGATTCAGAAATTTCAGATACATCTGAGTGTGGTTGGCACACCTTTGCAATGCCAGGACTCAGGAAGCTAAGGCAGCTTTGGCTACATAGTGAGATCCTTCCTCCAAAACAAACAAAAAGAAATGGAGGAATGAAGGAGGAAGGGAATGAGGGAAAGAATAAATAAATAAACAATAAAGACAATAAACCTAGTTAAGGAAGTGGGTTTGAATATGCAATAGACACACACACACACAAGACAAATATTTTCCTACATGAAAACTGTCTTAGTTTGGGGTTACTATTGCTATGATAAAACACCATCACCCAAACAACTTAGGGATGGAATGGCCAGTGACTCACACAATTGTAATCAAAGTTCAGGAGGCTGAGGGAAGAAGATGG